GATGTGGCCATCCTCCGCACGGGACTGCAGTCCAACAAGGTGTGTGATGATCCTTTCCCACCATTGAATCCATTGTAACCTTTTCCATTCTAGCGCTTCCTTCGCACCAAGCAGTACAACAACAACTGGCTCAATGGGGCACAGTTCGTGGGCAGCTTCGAGGCCGGAAACTTTGTCTACTTTCTGCTCCGCGAATCGGCAGCCGAGCACATGACGTGCGGCAAGGTAAGAGACTGCCTCCCAAGCGCAACGATCGCCCTCTAAGTTCAGTTTTGATTCTTCCTTTAGGCAATTTATTCACGCATTGCTAGGGTCTGCAAGAACGATGCCGGTGGGGGCCAGCTGCTGCGTGACAATTGGACATCGTTCCTGAAGGCGCGGCTCAATTGTTCGCTGCCTGGCGAATATCCGTACTACTTCGATGAGGTGCAGGGCATGACCTATGCAGAGTCCGAGCATGTGCTCTATGCCACCTTCCGAACCTCGGGGTGAGTGGCGAAATACTTTAAGGGGAGCCCCAAACTAATGACTGATTACCCACCCCCCACTCTAACACAGATCTAGCATCTATGGGTCGGCTGTGTGCGCCTTTAACCTCAGCTCCATAAACGAAGCCTTCGACGGGGCCTTCAAGCATCAGGAGCATGCCGATGCTGCCTGGACAACGGTCAACACGCCACAGCGGAGTCAGTTCCAATGCGCAGGAGGCACCACGGGCTTTGGCCATCTGCTGGAGAGCTCCCGCTACCAACTGATGGACCAGGCCGTCCAGCCCATTGGCGCCCAGCCACTCTATCACTCGAAGCTGGAGCAGTTCGGGCGCATAGCCCTGGACATACTGAATACCAAAACGGAACAGATTCATGTGCTCTTCGTGGCCAGCAGCGGGAACCACATCAAGAAGCTGTCGGTGAAGTACGTCAATGGCGGGACACAGACCTGTCTGGTGGAGCTCTGGCAAGCAGACGACACCGGCAGCAGTGTCCTCCTCAACATGGCCTATCTGAAGGTCAGCGACTCGCTCTATCTGGGTACAGATCTGGCCTTGACCCGGGTTCCCGCTCAGCGCTGCAGTCGCCATGTGTCGCAGTCCAGCTGCCTCAACGCCATGGATCCCTATTGCGGCTGGAACGAGCTCGTCGAGCGCTGCATGCCCCAGCCGCTCGACTCCTCCGGGTTCCAACACTGGCAGCAGGCCCCGCAGCTCACGTGTCCAGTGCTCAATGCCCCCATTGACGGTGGCTGGTCGACGTGGAATCCGTGGAGCGTTTGTCAGCAGCACGAGGAGACCGATAGCAACTGCCTGTGCCGGGACCGCAGCTGCAACAACCCGCAGCCACAGCATGGCGGGGCTAGCTGTGAGGGCATCAGCACGCAGGTGACGAACTGCACCCAACACGGTGGCTGGACGGAGTGGTCCGCATGGTCGCAGTGCTCCCAGACCTGCGGCATAGCGGTTAAGATTCGTCGCAGGACCTGCGGCAATCCCCGACCCGCCCACGGCGGACGCACCTGTGTGGGATCGGAGCAATCGGAGATGTATTGCCGTCACTTGCCGCCCTGTCCGGTGCCCAAGCCCCCGTCGGTGGACGGTGGCTGGGGACCTTGGGGCGAGTGGAGCGAGTGCAGTGCCCAGTGTGGTGGAGGTTTCCGCATGCGACGTCGCGAATGCAACGATCCGGCGCCCCTGAACGGCGGTCTCGACTGCCCCGGCTGCCGGCTGGACTACGAGGATTGCAACATGCAGAGCTGCTCGGAGGTGCGTAAGCTCAGCGCCTGGACGCCCTGGCTAACGCTGCCGACGGGCAGTGCAGGCAATTCCAGTGAGTCGCCCCACATTGAGCGTCGGTACCGTTATGCCTGCCGTGCCACCAGCCCCGACGCCAGCTCCGTGCGCATCAGCCTGGCCAAGGAGGAGTCGCGCAGCTGTCACCAAGACGGCAGCTGCCAGAGGCATGGCGATCATGGCGATACAGCCGATACGGAGTCGGACTGGTCTCCGTGCAGCGTCAGCTGCGGCGGCGGCACCCAGCAGCGTCAGCGAGGTCGAGGCATCCAGAACCGGGCGTGCAATCTCCAGGAGTGCCCCACCGACGATCTGCAGCCCAGCAACAGCATCGACAACGAGCTGGAGCATGAGTGGGGCTGCTGGTCGGAGTGGTCAGCCTGCTCGGTCACCTGTGGCCTGGGAGTGCGCAGGCGAACGCGTCGCTGCCTGGGTGGACATGAGCGGCTGTGCAAGGGTCGCGCTCTGGACGAGCAAAAGTGCGAGATGGTGCCTTGTGAAGGTTTGTTTTGTTTTCTTACCCTTTTTTCAAGTTCTGCTGATCTTAACGTCGCTTTGTGTTTCGTAGATTTTCTTGGATGGAGCGCTTGGAGTGAGTGGTCGTCGTGCTCCAGTGATGGCATACGTCTGCGGCATCGTCGCTGTCTGATGGAACAGCCCACGTCCGTGGAGTGCCGCGGGGCAGAGTTCGAGAAGACCGCTTGCATGCCCAACGAGTGCGGAGGTAAATACACTGAATGAATACTCCCTAAAATGTTCCATGCTTATTTGTACGTTTTATTTATATGCTTTGCAGAAGTGCAGACGGCCTCCTCAGCTACTCTGCCCATTGTGATCGGGGTCTGCGTACTGGTGACTGTGGCCTGCTGTCTGGCCACCTACAGATTCACGAAGCAGCGCTTCCTGCTGAGTGCCGAGGAGGCCCTGAATAAGACAACGACAACGACGGCCAGTTTTGATACCTATCCCAATCAGTACTCCAGTCTGCCCACCAAGGATGTAAGCCTAACCCCAGCGAAATGCAGAGAAAGAGCGTCTAGAGTCTAATGAATGAATGTTTTCTTCCAGCAGTACTATGATCAGCGCCCGAAGCGGCAAAGCAGCTTCCGCATGCCCGCCAAGACGAGTAATGTGGGCAATGGCACACTGAATCGGAACCACAATATGCATCACAACAACACGCCCAAGGTGCTGGCCAAGACGTACAACGACTGCGAGACGGGCACACTAAAAAGGCAGTCGGCACTCAACAATTGCCGAGCGAACATTGACGATGAGAAGTTCTAGAGCTCATCCTCATCAGCCCAAACTGTGCCATCATTTGCCATGATCTACTTGCTGTTTATGGAAATGTTACAACGATTATGAAACCATTTTGCACACAATCGATGCAGTTGCAAAAAGTTCCTTCTCTGACTCACATTGAGTCGTGTTATTTAAGTTAATTGAGGTAGTTGTGGATCTAATTAGTTTTACCATGTAATACGTATCTATCGGATAAGTAATGTAATGATAAGTGTGTCGAAAGATTCGTTGAACAAGTATTTTAGGTGGAGTGCGTTTCAACCCATTCCCTTTCGACATTTTCGATTCTAGGTTATTTCATTTCGTTATTGTTTTCACATTTTCGTTTATCCTTCACATGATTATTTCCCCCTCCCCCACCCGCCCTTCTTGTAGATATTGTCATTTTTTATTTTTTTTTATTATTGTTCCCTCTTTAGTGTAGTACGATCAAGAAACGACACTAAGTATGTATGTATAATCAAACAAAACAAAAGGCGAGACTGAATGTTAATATTTTTGTAGAAAATTGCTTATCCCAAAATGTATGCCATGCAACACAACCAAGAAAACGTTTTCATGGAGAAAATTCTGCTTATAATTATAATTGATTCGCATTTAAATTATCGAATAATAGATAGTGACCAAGCCTAAGTAAGCAGATATTATTTTTAGTCTACTTTGTAAGAAATATCGAACAATACATAAGGAGTTTTATACTAACCGAAATGAAAATTCCCATTCTACAATTTTTGGCTATATAAAAACCTTTCGACTGGCTATAAATAGGCTAGAACTGTGCAAACAACTTCACGTACAAGTATATCTACATCGAAACAGCAGTTTTTGGCATCTCTCTTAAGATCAAGGGAATCTTTAAAGATCCCCTGTTAAATCTTAAATGAGGATACACGGCATTATATCGAATATTTTCCTGTGAGAAGTCAATGAAAGAAATATCAAAATACGAGTAGTAGAGAGCATTGACGTGTTTATTGCTTTTCATAAGGGATTTTATGTTTTTCCGCAACTATTTTAATCAGTGGATTCAGTGGGAGTAACGGGTCCGCGAGTGGGGCGCGTCCGGCGCGTCGTACGACGCGTGCGGGGAGTGGGTCGAGTACGGGGAGGGCGTGTTGTTGGACCAGACTGAAGAGCTCTAAGGACATTGTCACAGGAGAGTGTTTGACAGCGCACTAGAGTCACTGGAAATATAATAAAAGGATATAAATCGATCAATCAGGAATGTCATTAAAAATACACTCCGGGCTATCCTCGTGGACTTACATTGGCAGGTGGCATTAGCCAACTGGCAACGGGTGATATTACGCCAACGACGGTTAGTCCTACGGCACTGGCTGTTAAAGGCAGCAGTAACATCGTTGGTACTTCCCAGACGGTTCTCATTGCGTAGACATTTTGCGTTCTCGCGCTGGCAAATCTCGCGGCCGCGCGGGGATATCGTCGTCTCCTGGCTGGCCACGTAAATGCAACCGATAGCTAGAACTTGAATACGTTAGAATCTTCTACTGTGCAACTGTGGACTCGACTCCTAGATTCTCACCCAATAGCAAAGCAATTTTCCACATTTTGGTGTTGTTACGAAAAACTCACGCTCAAGTTCTGTGCTGGAACAGTGCTGACACTTGGGCTTTTATAAAGGCCTGGAAATATTTTGGGAAACAGCTGTTTTCTCCATATAGAACAGATTCCATTATTACGCACGGAACAACGGTGCATTCAAATGGCTAAAAGACAATCAACTCGCATTGTCAAACATTTCCTTTAAAGCTTTTTGAGTTTTTGTTCTCGGTGCACTTGTGTTTCATAATCTTTATGGCTGGCTTGTATATAAAGGGTTCGACGTTGATTGGGTCTTCAGTAGTTATCAGGACAAGTAGTTCTCAGCAACAACAAATAAACCGAGAGAATGAATATCAACATAGTTTTGGCTTTATTCGTTGGTAAGTCCGTATAACAAATCAAGGACCAATTTCGGCACTATCCCAAGCTATTATTGTCATTTATAGTCCTCTGCCTGACCTTGATATCTGGTCAGAGGGATGACTGCGAGGCACTGCGACGCGCATGCGAAACTTGCTCGAGTAGTTTGAATAATCCGTCGGATCGTAACCTACCCACTTTGAATGCGGAGTGCAGGCGGAAGACTCGTAATACCTGGATTTGGCGCAATGTTAACCGATGCGAGCTTACCAGATTGAATTGTATAGGTAAGTGTATATTGTTCAAATCGTGGACTACTGATTCTAAGCGAAATTATTTGTGTCTAAAGGATCCAACCGTCGCATGAACTGTGCAGATATTGCTGAACTTGCTAGAATGCAGCGTGTCAGGACCTGAGGAATTGTTGACAACTGATATAATCATAATTCAAAATTAAATATACAAGAGAGCATTGAAGTAAAAAAAAACGTGTTTATTATACATTAAACCCAGACTCAAAGAGTGCTAAAAACTCTGGTAAATAACGTTTAAAAATAATGTGCAACGTTGACCGCTCACAAAAACTATCGAAACTTGCAATTCGATAAGTGTCATGTGCCGTCTCTAAGCATGATCACGTTTTCCTACAATCGATAGTTCCATTGTTCGTTTTGCAACACTTGTAGCCAAACCACTTGAAAGGCGTACGAGATATATCGTACAGAGGCAACCAGTATTTTAACGATAAGCAAGTAAAAATCTTCGGAAAGCTATACTTCAGAGAAAAATTGCCAGATCGGTGAAGGACCGACTCGGCCAGGATCGCAAGGATCCAGCCTGTCGAACGGCGTCAAAATCTCGACTTCAAAAACGAGTCAGATTTTCGGCAAATTCAATGATGTAACCATCATGATTTTTTGCGAAAATCGTGATAAGCTGGATGTCCTTTTTTCTGATGCCTATCGGTTGGCAGGAATCTCCCCATCACGAAAAGTCATGCCTCGCCCCGATCGGCCGCTGTGTAGCCGAGATATAGCTTGCAGAAATAACCAGTATCTTAAAGATACGCAAATCACAATCTTCGGAAGGCTATATCTCAGGCAAATAGGGCCAGATCGGTGAAGGACCGACTCGGCCAGGATCGCAAGGATCCAGCCTGTCGAACGGCATCAAAATCTCGACTTCGAAAACGAGTCAGATTTTTGGCAAATTCAATGATGTAACCATCATGATTTTTTGCGAAAATCGTGATAAGCTGGATGTCCTTTTTTCTGATGCCTATCTCACGAAAAGTCATGCCTCGCCCCGATCGGCCGCTGTGTAGCCGAGATATAGCTTGCAGAAATAACCAGTATCTTAAAGATACGCAAATCACAATCTTCGGAAGGCTATATCTCAGGCAAATAGGGCCAGATCGGTAAACGACTGACTCGGCCAGGATCGCAAGGATCCAGCCTGTCGAACGGCGTCAAAATCTCGACTTCGAAAACGAGTCAGATTTTTGGCAAATTCAATGATGTAACCATCATGATTTTTTGCGAAAATCGTGATAAGCTGGATGTCCTTTTTTCTGATGCCTATCTCACGAAAAGTCATGCCTCGCCCCGATCGGCCGCTGTGTAGCCGAGATATAGCTTGCAGAAATAACAAGTATCTTAAAGATACGCAAATCACAATCTTCGGAAGGCTATATCTCAGGCAAATAGGGCCAGATCGGTAAACGACCGACTCGGCCAGGATCGCAAGGATCCAGCCTGTCGAACGGCATCAAAATCTCGATTTCGAAAACGAGTCAGATTTTTGGCAAATTCAATGATGTAACCATCATGATTTTTTGCGAAAATCGTGATAAGCTGGATGTCCTTTTTTCTGATGCCAATCGGTTGGCAGGACTCTCCCCATCATGCCTCGCCCCGATCGGCCGCTGTGTAGCCGAGATATAGCTTGCAGAAATAACCAGTATCTTAGAGATACGCAAATCACAATCTTCGGAAGGCTATATCTCAGGCAAATAGAGCCAGATCGGTGAAGGACCGACTCGGCCAGGATCGCAAGGATCCAGCCTGTCGAACGGCATCAAAATCTCGATTTCGAAAACGAGTCAGATTTTTGGCAAATTCAATGATGTAACCATCATGATTTTTTGCGAAAATCGTGATAAGCTGGATGTCCTTTTTTCTGATGCCAATCGGTTGGCAGGACTCTCCCCATCATGCCGCGCCCCGATCGGCCGCTGTGTAGCCGAGATATAGCTTGCAGAAATAACCAGTATCTTAAAGATACGCAAATCACAATCTTCGGAAGGCTATATCTCAGGCAAATAGGGCCAGATCGGTAAACGACCGACTCGGCCAGGATCGCAAGGATCCAGCCTGTCGAACGGCATCAAAATCTCGACTTCGAAAACGAGTCAGATTTTTGGCAAATTCAATGATGTAACCATCATGATTTTTTGCGAAAATCGTGATAAGCTGGATGTCCTTTTTTCTGATGCCATTCTCACGAAAAGTCATGCCTCGCCCCGATCGGCCGCTGTGTAGCCGAGATATAGCTTGCAGAAATAACAAGTATCTTAAAGATACGCAAATCACAATCTTCGGAAGGCTATATCTCAGGCAAATAGGGCCAGATCGGTAAACGACCGACTCGGCCAGGATCGCAAGGATCCAGCCTGTCGAACGGCATCAAAATCTCGACTTCGAAAACGAGTCAGATTTTTGGCAAATTCAATGATGTAACCATCATGATTTTTTGCGAAAATCGTGATAAGCTGGATGTCCTTTTTTCTGATGCCAATCGGTTGGCAGGACTCTCCCCATCACGAAAAGTCATGCCTCGCCCCGATCGGCCGCTGTGTAGCCGAGATATAGCTTGCAGAAATAACCAGTATCTTAAAGATACGCAAATCACAATCTTCGGAAGGCTATATCTCAGGCAAATAGGGCCAGATCGGTAAACGACCGACTCGGCCAGGATCGCAAGGATCCAGCCTGTCGAACGGCGTCAAAATCTCGACTTCGAAAACGAGTCAGATTTTTGGCAAATTCAATGATGTAACCATCATGATTTTTTGCGAAAATCGTGATAAGCTGGATGTCCTTTTTTCTGATGCCATTCGGTTGGCAGGACTCTCCCCATCACGAAAAGTCATGCCGCGCTCAAATCGGCCGCTGTGTAGCCGAGATATAGCTTGCAGAAATAACCAGTATCTTAAAGATACGCAAATCACAATCTTCAGAAGGCTATATCTCAGGCAAATAGGGCCAGATCGGTGAAGGACCGACTCGGCCAGGATCGCAAGGATCCAGCCTGTCGAACGGCGTCAAAATCTCGACTTCGAAAACGAGTCAGATTTTTGGCAAATTCAATGATGTAACCATCATGATTTTTTGCGAAAATCGTGATAAGCTGGATGTCCATTTTTCTGATGCCAATCGGTTGGCAGGACTCTCCCCATCATGCCTCGCCCCGATCGGCCGCTGTTTAGCCGAGATATAGCTTGCAGAAATAACCAGTATCTTAAAGATACGCAAATCACAATCTTCGGAAGGCTATATCTCAGGCAAATAGGGCCAGATCGGTGAAGGACCGACTCGGCCAGGATCGCAAGGATCCAGCCTGTCGAACGGCGTCAAAATCTCGACTTCGAAAACGAGTCAGATTTTTGGCAAATTCAATGATGATTTTTTGCGAAAATCGTGATAAGCTGGATGTCCTTTTTTCTGATGCCAATCGGTTGGCAGGACTCTCCCCATCATGCCTCGCCCCGATCGGCCGCTGTGTAGCCGAGATATAGCTTGCAGAAATAACCAGTATCTTAAAGATACGCAAATCACAATCTTCGGAAGGCTATATCTCAGGCAAATAGGGCCAGATCGGCGAAGGACCGACTCGGCCAGGATCGCAAGGATCCAGCCTGTCGAACGGCGTCAAAATCTCGACTTCGAAAACGAGTCAGATTTTTGGCAAATTCAATGATGTAACCATCATGATTTTTTGCGAAAATCGTGATAAGCTGGATGTCCTTTTTTCTGATGCCATTCGGTTGGCAGGACTCTCCCCATCACGAAAAGTCATGCCGCGCTCAAATCGGCCGCTGTGTAGCCGAGATATAGCTTGCAGAAATAACCAGTATCTTAAAGATACGCAAATCACAATCTTCAGAAGGCTATATCTCAGGCAAATAGGGCCAGATCGGTGAAGGACCGACTCGGCCAGGATCGCAAGGATCCAGCCTGTCGAACGGCGTCAAAATCTCGACTTCGAAAACGAGTCAGATTTTTGGCAAATTCAATGATGTAACCATCATGATTTTTTGCGAAAATCGTGATAAGCTGGATGTCCATTTTTCTGATGCCAATCGGTTGGCAGGACTCTCCCCATCATGCCTCGCCCCGATCGGCCGCTGTGTAGCCGAGATATAGCTTGCAGAAATAACCAGTATCTTAAAGATACGCAAATCACAATCTTCGGAAGGCTATATCTCAGGCAAATAGGGCCAGATCGGCGAAGGACCGACTCGGCCAGGATCGCAAGGATCCAGCCTGTCGAACGGCGTCAAAATCTCGACTTCGAAAACGAGTCAGATTTTTGGCAAATTCAATGATGATTTTTTGCGAAAATCGTGATAAGCTGGATGTCCTTTTTTCTGATGCCAATCGGTTGGCAGGACTCTCCCCATCATGCCTCGCCCCGATCGGCCGCTGTGTAGCCGAGATATAGCTTGCAGAAATAACCAGTATCTTAAAGATACGCAAATCACAATCTTCGGAAGGCTATATCTCAGGCAAATAGGGCCAGATCGGCGAAGGACCGACTCGGCCAGGATCGCAAGGATCCAGCCTGTCGAACGGCGTCAAAATCTCGACTTCGAAAACGAGTCAGATTTTTGGCAAATTCAATGATGTAACCATCATGATTTTTTGCGAAAATCGTGATAAGCTGGATGTCCTTTTTTCTGATGCCATTCGGTTGGCAGGACTCTCCCCATCACGAAAAGTCATGCCGCGCTCAAATCGGCCGCTGTGTAGCCGAGATATAGCTTGCAGAAATAACCAGTATCTTAAAGATACGCAAATCACAATCTTCAGAAGGCTATATCTCAGGCAAATAGGGCCAGATCGGTGAAGGACCGACTCGGCCAGGATCGCAAGGATCCAGCCTGTCGAACGGCGTCAAAATCTCGACTTCGAAAACGAGTCAGATTTTTGGCAAATTCAATGATGTAACCATCATGATTTTTTGCGAAAATCGTGATAAGCTGGATGTCCTTTTTTCTGATGCCAATCGGTTGGCAGGACTCTCCCCATCATGCCTCGCCCCGATCGGCCGCTGTTTAGCCGAGATATAGCTTGCAGAAATAACCAGTATCTTAAAGATACGCAAATCACAATCTTCGGAAGGCTATATCTCAGGCA